CAGGACGGACCTTCCGCCTCCAGCATCGGCACCGGCTCTGCTCCACCGGCACCGGCACGGGGAGCGACCCTCCTCTCCCGGCACCGGCATCAGTCCTTGGAGCCCGGCCCCAGGACCGGCCGGCCTCCATCAGCACCGGCGCTTCTTCCCCGGCACAGGGTCCGCTCCTGCCCCGGCACCGGGACTGACCCTCCTGTCCTCCTTCCCCCGGCACCGACACCAGTTATCCCCCGGCACTGGGACCAGTCCGTCTCCCCGGCGGTACCGGGACTGCTCGTCCTTCTCCAGCACCAGGACCGACCTTTCCCCGGCGGCACCGGGACCTCCCGTCTGTCCCAGGTACCGGTGCTGCGGGAGCGGGGGACCCGCGGGGAGGGGGCCGGGGCAGCCCCAGCCCCCCTCGCACCGCTGGGTGATGGAGGTTGGGCAGCTCTTGGGACGATCTGGGGGCTCCCCTGCCACGCACACACCGGGGTGTCCGTGGATGGGGTGTGGGCACAGGGTCAGGGGGGACCACTCATCCCACCACCCCCGGAGCGCAGACCCAGGGGTCACCCGTGGGGACCCTCCCCACGGAGGCCATCATGGGGAGGCGATGCAGGGTTTGAGCTGTGTCCCTCCGTGGGATGCGCGGGGCTCCCAGAGAAGGAGGAGGCAGCAGCCCGGCATGCGGCAAGGTAGGGCTTTGAAGGTGAACCGCAGGCAGCTGGCTCCTTGGCAGGTTCCGGGAGGTGATGAGCTGCGTGCGGCTTCCTTTTCCTTCCAACCAAACATGCACCACAAGTCTCTTCTTCCCTAGTTTTATCTGAGGAGCCTTGGGTAAGTCCTCATACAGTGGGCTCTTGCGGAAATTGCACCTTTTTTGACGCAAAAGCAAAAATGCCAGAGCCCTTCGGACCAGGGCTGCTGCCGGATCCCTGCAGCCCACAGCAAAGCTCTTGGATGAGTCCCTGCTCCCTAATGCCGTCGGACATGTCCATCAGCCAGTAGCTCATCCCAGGGCTGTGCCCAGCGTGGAAACCCCTGCGTGGGGCCAGTGCTGGGGCTGCTCTTGCCCGCTGGATGCTGCCGGTTTGAATTAGGTCAGGCTTTCATCTCAGGCAGGCTCAGCTCCCCACTCCAGCCCCGGGGATTGATGATTCGTGGCAGGCGCCCGGGCAGGGGGAGGAAGGGGCTCTCACTGCAGCACCGTGGGGTGGCAGGGAGCCGAGGACGCGCCGTGTCACTGCGCAGAGAACAGGTGATGTGCTGTTTTGAAAGCACCTTCCTTATGATCCACTGAGATCAGACAAGTGGGGCGGTCAGGAAAGGCTCCAGACAGACTCAAGGGATGTGTACACCTTCGGGGCGCAGATTTTCAGCCAGTGGAAGGAGCCACAGCGGCCACTGTGACCCCCTGTCTCTGCAGCATCGTCCCCCCAGCCTTTTCAGAAGGTGAAGCCTGTGCTAATGAAAGAGATGGGTGAACCAGCCAGATCCTTCCCCGGGGCTGTGTCCTGGTGAAACTGGGGCTGAGAGCTCTCCCATGAGCTGCAAGGGCCACGCCATGAGGGATGCAAAGGTCTTGGGATGGCCCAGGCTCCCTTCGCTCCGTGAGTTAGTAGCTGCTCTCGGCATCAGCAGCCTCTGTGCAGGGAGAGACGGGCAGAGGACAGGGACAGCGGAGAGGTGGGGGTGAAGTAAAGTCCGTAGCAGTGGAAAGGCTGAGCTTAACCCTGGGACAGCACAGGGTGGTGGTGACGCTTTGGGAGCAGGTCACTGGGGGACCAGACTGGGTGCTGGGGCTGGGCGCTGAGGCTGGCTGGCACTGAGCATCCCAGCAAGCACAGCTGCCCTGGAGCCGTTCGTGTGGTGCGATGCCTGGCTGGCTCCTCGCTCCCCCAGCAGCATGAAGTCCGCTCCAGTATCCACCAGTAAACCCCCTGAGAAGGAGGGATGTGACGTGGAAGTGGGAGCGGAATATGGAGCTGGGATCCTGCGCTGCTCTACCCATTGCCCAAAGTTATGTCTGGAGGTTGCAGTGAGACTTTCTTCAAAGCCCCGCGCTCCTTAATCACAGGATAATGCAGAGAGCTCTCCAGTTACAGCGCTAATAACCACAGCAATTTGGTTTCTGTAGTGGTATATTGTGGAGATAATTAGATGAGGGATTCCCAGCTCGTTTGGCTGGGTGATGAAAGCCTCCTCTGCGCCGAGGCAGAGCTGTGCCACCATCCCTGCCAGCAGCACCAGCCCGCTGCCCCAGCCACCAGCGCCTCTCATTAACTGGAGGGGGATGCTGGAAATTTATTTTCCAATTAACTCTCCCTGATTTCACAACAAAAGCAAACACCAGTCGGGCAGTGCCCACCTGGGAGCGAGAGGCTCAGGGCACTGGTGGGGCAGATCCCGGTCTGGGGAAACTTTCTCTTTCCAAGTGGTTTGTCGGTAATTGCACCCTGGGGTGAGGCAGCGCTGTGGAGCACCAAACCGTGCGGTGCTGTGGAGGGTCCTGCTGCCTCGGGCATGTAAAGGGAGTGTTTTGGGGGGAAGATGCTCAAAGACACCAGCCTGGTCCAGGCTACAGCTTGTCTCAGTGTCAGGTCAAGTCCAAGCCCTGAATTTGAACCAGAGCTGAGAGCAAGGAGCGGAAATTTGGAGCCTGGGTCCAGCAGAGAGGGTTGCTGATGAGGCTTTGTCGTTTTCAAGAGCAGCAAGAGGGGTCAGCAGTCATTAGAGATCTTGTGTCCCTGCCCAGCTGGGGCACTCGCAGCTCTTGAGGCTCTGCAGAGATGTCACCTTCCTGGGCCAGGTGTCCCAAGCACCGCTCCTCAAAGGGACATCCCACACAGAACCGAGCCCTTCTGGGTACCTCTGGGGCTGGGCTCGCAAGACTCCGCGAGACGGGTGCTGTGAGGAACATCCCCTAAGAGCTGTTTGCTGCCATCTCTGATGCCCCTGTCATCCCCATTGCTCCATCACCCAGCCATGCCCACCCAGCTACCCCCAGTGCTTGATGAAAATGCTTACAAGCACCTTCATATTCAATTTATCCTATAAAGTGCCAAAAGATTCCTCCTGCCCTGCAATGCCCCCGCGGTCACAGGCTGGGGGACAAGCTCTGTGCTGGAAGGTGGGTTAGCGCTGGCACTGAGGACCTGGCTCCAGGGGCACCTCTGGGCTCGATATGTGCTCTCTGAAGCCTGAGCCAGCAGCAAAGCCTTCACCAGGGCTGCTCCGGGTGGACCCTCCATCTCAGGGTGGTGGTGGTCCAGCTGTGGCACACAGCAGGGTCCATCCCCAGTGCTCCCCACCCTCCCAGGCACCCACACTCCCCAGAGGTGGCTGCGCTTCAGCAGTGTGTCTATAGCCCCCGCTGTACTTGACGTCCCTGCCAGATGAGAACTCCCATACAAACCCGGGCTATTATTATCTCCGTCTTCCACTGTGCTAATGGTCTCTCAGGAAACAGTCTTCTTTTTTTTTCTTTTTTTTTTTTTTTTTTTCTTCCAGCTTTTAAAACCCACAAATACCGGAGGAGTGGTAACGAAAAGCCAGGCATGGCAGAGAGGAGCGCCAAGCCCTTACCAAGCGCAGGAGAGCCAGTGTCCCCCTAACCTGGTGGGGACAGGGAGTGGTGACCAGGCAGGACCAGCCAAGGATCAGCTCTGGGGCTTTCTGGTAGGCACAGATGAGGGCTGGGGAGGGCAATGTGCAGCACTGGGGATACTGGGGATGGCTGTGGCACAGGGCGACTGGAAAACCTGCATGATGAGGGGCAAGTGGGGGTCCCAGCTGCTCCCCACCTACCGTGCTTGGGTGGGAAGCGTATGGGGCTCCATGACATTGGGGAAGGGGTCCCTTCTCGGGCATGGCTCTGCTGCTTCTTTTCTTCTGCTCGCTCCCCATTTTGGTGTTTCAATGCTTTGTGCGCTGCCACAGACCGCTCCGTCTGCCAGAGGGTGCTGCCAGCTCCAGCAGCCTTAAAAAAGGGTGGCACCAGCCCCACAGCCAGGGTTTCTGCCGGGTGCTGGGTGCCACCAGGGAAATGACCCATGGATTATTTGGGGTTTACAAGCAGCTCCTGTAAATCGGAAGCAAAGCAAAAGCCACAAAGCGTGAGATTATATAAACGGAGCTGGAGGCAGCTGCGGCACAGCCTGTAATTAATTCGTGGCGGTGAAGTGCTTTGAAGATCCAGGGCGACGTCGATGCCGGGTGTAAGACAGCTCGAGGGACAGCACCCGCCGGCGGCAGGGTCCTGCTCAGCCCCAGCTCCCCTGGGACAGTGTCCCCGCTCCTGCAGGGATGCTGCGAGGGGAAGGGGGCAGTGGTGCAGCTCAAGCACCCCATGAACCCGCTGGGTGTCGGGCTTGGCCCCGCAGAGCCCATCCTGCAGCTTCCACCCTCCCTCCCAAAATCACACAGGGGGCACAGCTCGGGCTCAAGGCTACAGAAACTTTATGTGATAGGAAAACTTTTGTGGTCCTCCAGTAAAAACAGAGATTACCAACCAACAGAGATCACCGACCCCCTGCTTCCAGAGCATCCGCATGCTGAACTGGGGCCACAGCTCAGGCTCGCTTCATTTCAGGTTCACGCAATGCATTAAGCGAGGGCCAAACCACTGTCGGTTAAGCAAGAAATATTTAGAGGAGTCAGAGAGTCCTGCCTGCTGGTGATGCATCCCTCCTCACAGCCCCCGCAGTTCCACTGGGACCAACGTAACGTCCTGGTGCGGGAAAATCCCCCTTGTTTCGCTGCAGACCTGGCTATGGCTCAGGGTTCTCGGAGGCCCTCGTTGCTAATTGCCTGGCTGAGGTTTATCCTCGTTACACAAGCGGTTCTCCACACGCAATCGTTGACCTCATCTTACCACAGTGCCTTCTCCATCCCATCCCCACCGGGAAGTGCAGGGAGAGCAACGGGCTGCCTGTCCACTGGCAGCTCCGTGGCCCCAAGAGCATCCCGAAATAGGCTGGAAAGTGCCCAGCCCACGGTGATGGGGTCCCTGGAGGCATCCCGCTCCTGCTCGGTGGCTCACGGTGATGCTGATCAGGAAGGCAGGACCGGGGCAGAGACTTGCTGTGCCTTTCGGTGGCACAGAGCTGAGCTGCTTCCTCCCATTTCCTTGGCAGCACCGGCGCCATCGGCAATGCGAGCGATGGCAGACCAGGCTGCGGCGGCGGCAGATGCTTCCCCAACCCTGGCACCTTCCCCGGGCTCACCCCGATGTGGGGACACCGATGGGCTAACATACCATCCCACCGGCACCAGGGAGGACAGCAGTGGCCGAGATGGCTGTGGGCTCCTTTTCTCCATGGACGGTGACACGAAGCCTCTCCCCTCACCCCAGCCTGGGGGGATGCTCCTGGCCGACCTCCCACGGGCCCCCCAGCCCCGGCTGAGCCCAGCCAAGTCCCGCACAGCCCCGTCCTCCCCCAGCGTCTCCCCATCGGAGAGTCGTGCCGCGCTGCTCCGCCTGCGGGAGGCCAGGCTGGAGGACACCAAGAGACGGCTGTCGGAGGCCGTGCAGGAGCCCCTCAGCCGGCTC